TTCTTTTCACCATTTTTTTTAAAGATTTTATTTATTTATTTGACAGACAGAGATCACAAGTAGACGGAGAGGCAGATAGAGAGAGAGAGAGGAGGAAGCAGGCTCCCTGCTGAGCAGAGAGCCCGATGCGGGACTCGATCCTCGGACCCTGAGATCATGACCTGAGCCGAAGGCAGCAGCTTAACCCACTGAGCCACCCAGGTGCCCCTTCTTTTCACCATTTTTTAGCATTTTGTATTTCTCCAGAAACGTACATGCCACGCATTCTGTTTCATAAAGCCTTTTCACTTAACACCCTATCATCAGGAATCCCCCACATCAGGAAGTGTTGATCTGTATGGAAGCTTGTACATACCACCATGTCTTACCAGTGTTTCTTAGTAGGTGGCTCTTAGTTTTTCGGTGATAAACGGCGTAACCATAGTTTGGGTTCTGTCTCTGTGAAGGACAGACTACCCCAACACCGTGTAACTCAACAGTCATTTTGTTGCTCAGAAATTTGGGCAGGACTCAATTAGGACACTAATTGAGGTTCTTGCACTTTCTACAGCATCTGCTGTGGTCAGTGATGAAGCTGGCAGCTCATCTGGGGGCTGGCTGGGTTTCTTTCTCTCTCTTTTCTAGACCCTCTTCCCCCGTGGCCTCTGCCCCCTTCCAGCAGTCTCTTTCTTAGCACAGAAGTCCAATTTCGGGATCCACGGCTAGCTTCCCAGAGAGCAAAAACAGAATTGCTAACCCTCGGACAGAGCGGGGCCTCTCTTCCACTGGGTCCTACTGATCACAGCAAGTTGCAAGGTCAGCCCAGACTTCAGAGGTGGGGAGCAGCCCCCACTGATTCATGGGAGAGCTGCCTGTGGGTACCAAGATGGGTGGCCCCATTTGCAGAAAGTCTACGACTCTGACCATCCTGTCAGATGAACTTTGGAGTCGAACTGCACGTTCTTTGAATGGATATGTGGTCTACTGACTTGCGGATTTGGGGAATCCATATCGAGCAGGGAACGTGATCCTGTTGCTGCGCCTGCTGTAACTGCAGCGTGTCCCGACAAGCCATCAGGATTTGCTGCCAAGCTGGTCTTCACGTGGGTCTCCCCACTTGCTCAAGAAGGTGGCATTAACCCCACTTTACAGAGGAGGAAACTGAGGCCCAGCAATCTGCTGGCTCAACCTACTCTCCTCTCCCTTCGCCAGCATCCAGATCTCATACTTTATAGCATTTTCTCTGCTCCACACAATGTTGTAAGAGTAAGAGGCATCACGCAGAATCCAGCCACCTCCTGTGTCTCTTATCCTTTGGTGAGAGGTGAGTTAAGGAAGGGACAGGGCTCACATGCTCACGGTCTGGAGTCAGACTTCCAATGCTGCACCCGGTTCTGTCCCTTTTAAGGTCACTGAGCGTGGGTGGTGCTTTACTTCTCTAGGGCCCACTGTCCTCGTCTGTAAAATGAGAACAACTGTCTTACGGTTGCGGGTCCCAGAGCACTGACTTGAAGGAAGCACCTGGATTTCCAGCAGGGTTGAGGGTGGGGGAGTGCCGTCGGGCTCCTTGGGGGACCGTCACCCCGAGCCTTCCCCTCCTCTGCTTGCACCTGGCCTGGGTCAGGGGGGCCAACGTGTTCAAGGTAAATAACATGTCACAGAGGTCCTCCCCAGTGTGAGAACCACTGTGCTCTAATGAGATGCTCAAGGCAACAGCTAGACGAGCCCACTCTCCCACCTGTCCCTGTAGACTCGGTTGCAGAGTCATTCCTCCATTGTCTTTTCCTGTGGGCCTGGACCTTGGGTGCAGAAGCACAGCCTCGCCAAGGGTGTCCTGCCTCAGTGCCTTTGAATGCGGCTCTGCGTCTTCCAAGCAGGCCTGGAACAGAACGCAGGCTGAGGCCCCGGGGAGGGGAGCCGGTGCGTTCCCGCTGATTCATAGGATGAGTCAGTGCGGGCCGGTACCATCTGGCGCTCAGTGTCATGGCCTGTAATAAGAAGGTTTAGTATCGTTTGGCAAGAAAGACGTTCGCTGTTCGAGAGCCCCAACGTACTCTTCGTTGCTTTACTGCCCATGAGGGCTTCCCCAGATATCTGGTCACATTTTCCGGCAAGTAACATTTTCCAGCAAGGTCACCACCCAGGCTTGCGACTTCTGGGCCGTGGCATGGACGCTTCCTGCGAGGCCCAGGGAGCCGGTCTGAGCGGGGGAGCTGTTCTGGTTTGGGCCGGAGTTTCTGCTCGCTGTTATTTGTTGAGAACAGCTGATGGCTCGTTGACGGTGCCGGCGGTGCCTGGTAGCCGGAGGGAGTCGAGGATGATGGACACTGGAGATGAGGACAGCAGGGAGCTCTTGCTTGGAGGCAGGAAACCCGCACAGGTGTCCCCCGAATCGGTTCTGGAACTGCCCGTCCAGGGGCCAGGGAAGAAGTGGAAGTGATGTGGTCATGCAAGACCATCCTGTTACTCTTCACTGGGACGGGACGGGCCAAGTTAGCGTCTCCGATATCCTCTGTGGCTCCAAAAAGCTATCGCTCCTTCTGGCATCTTCTAGCCTCTCTGTGTGTAGGAGCGGGGAGTGGGCTCAGAGGGACCGGCGAGGGGACAGTACACGTCCTGTGTTGGCTAGGAGATCCCCAGGCACGGTTCATTCCCACACGTTGCATAATAGAACTCGGTATTTTCTCAGTCAGGTTCTGGCCATTGTTGAGTATCGCCTACAAAGAGATTTTCGCCGAGACGGATGCCGATAACCCCCTTCCTGTCTTGTGGTCCCGGTGAGGCCGTCCCATCCCCGTGGAGTGCCCTGACCTCCCACCGCCAAGGGCTGGGCACCTCCTTGACTCGGCCAGCTAGGCTCTCTGCTCTCAGACTTTGGGCTGGAGCCATTCCCAGAGAGAAGTAGAGCTCGGGTTCCTGCCGTCCACAGCTGTGCTCCGCAAGACAGCCCGACGTCCTCTCACCTGCCTTGGCTCCTTCTCTCGCAGAGGCTGGTTCTCCATCCCTCTGTCCGCCTCTCTGAGGACCTGGGACTCTCCCCGTACATTTCCAGTGGGCTCTGCGTTCAAGTAAATTTGAACGCTGGCTCAAATTACTGCTTTATTTTCTGCGTGCCTTCTCACGACGCCTGCACACACGAAGGTGACTGGTAGACGTCCGTGTGTTACGGCAGGCAGCAGAATTACAGTTCGGCAACCTCACAAATGTGGAGCCTCCAGGGCACATGGTAGAGATGAATGATGGGGTGATGGGTAATAGGAGAATCGAGGACCGGGGCCGATAGGAAATGTGTGCCTCGTCCTGGGGGGCACCTGCTCCTTGGTGTCCAACCCATGGTTCAGTGCCTTATAGCACAGTGAGTTCGATTTGCCAGAGGCTCTGAAATGCCGGTAGTCACAGGTCAGCAGAGGTAGTGTCCAGAAGAACTGTGTTGCTGGGTGGTGGCAGGCGTGGGCTTGCAGGCCGTCTCCCTGGATGTCAGCCCTGTCTTGGCTCTGTCTTAGCCCACAGGGAACCCTAGTCACCCCAGGCAAACAACTGGGCCTTTCAAAGCCTCAGTTTTGGGGTCTGCACCCTAATATTCTCCTCACAGACTTGTCGTAAGGATGCAGTGCTGACATGATGCTGGTCAGGCATTTTAACCCAGAGCCTGGCGCATGGTAAGTGCTCAGTAGTCAGAGAAAATTCACCGTAATTCCCCGGAAAATTAGATCACTCCAGATCTGACAGGGTGGAGATGGTCAATGTCCTGGGGCAGGGGGTTTAGATGTTGTTCACCGTTGTACCCCGGTGTCTGGCACAATGGGGGGTGGGCTCAAATACTTTAACTGATTATTGAAGACTCAAAATATTGAAACTTCAAATGTTTCTAAGTAAAACTGCGCAAGATGTTACGAGACCTTGTATACTAGAATTCTATCACAAAGGTAAAAATTCACCAACCTATCCACCCAACCACCCGTCCACCCAACCACCCATTCACGTACCCAACTATCCACCCCTCCAGCTACCCATTCACCCAACCATCCCTCCATCCACCCATCTACCTGCCCACCCACCCACCCAACTGCCCATCCATCCCTCCATCCATCCACCAACCATCTACCCACCTATCCACCTACTTATCTACCCACCCACCCATCCATCTTCCCATACATCCACCCATCCACCTACCCATCCTGTCTTCCACACACCCATCCTTCCATCCATCCACCCACTCTCTTCTCGCCCACAGACCCATCCTTCCATCCACCCACCCACCCATCCATCCACCCTCCCATCCTCTCATCCCCACCCATCCATCTTCCATACACTACAATGACATTTGTAGTTTTTTTTGCTACTGCAAAATGTGAGAAAAAGAGGATTAAAGGGTTATCTCTGTAAATTATGTCAGTCTAGGAGTTCAGCTCCTAATGCTTGGAGGGCTTATGAAGAAGTTGCATGGCCTGGAAATGAAGAGCCTTTTCACTGGTGCTCCGTTACCTGAGCTCACACCCTAACTCCGTAGCATCCTGGCTAAATGACCCGGGGCAAGTCATGGCCTCCCCATAGTCCGTGGAGATGATAGTCTCACTATCCTGTAGGGTCGTGAGAATTGAATGAGATAATGTGTGTAGAATTCTCGGGGCAGTATCTGGCACATGGTGAGTAATCTAACAAGTGTGGGCTTCCTCCCCGAGACTCCCAGCAGCACAGAGGCTATAAATTCCTGCCATACTGTCCCCTGTCCCATCGGTGTGCCACCTAACATGTGTGAAGGGTGAGTTTGCCTCGGAGCAGCTCCTTGTCCGCTGTGTGTATCTCCTTATGCCTCTTCCACACTCCCTTTCCCCATCACAGCTATGAGGGTGTCTCTAGGCCTGGATCTTGCTCTGATGCACCCACTTTTGGGAGCCTGGTGGCCCTCCTCCTGCCTCCCATACTCCACATGGTCCTTCTCTCCAACAGCGGCTGGCCGGTGAAAGGGTGACAGAGCCATGGCTTGCTGACCTGGAGCCTGGGTCTCTCCTCTTTTTCAGGGAGTCAGACCTGTTCCTGCTGGACAGCCGCACGCTCTGGGCCTCAGAGGAAGGCTGGCTGGTGTTCGACATCACCGCCACCAGCAACCACTGGGTGGTCAACCCACGGCACAATCTGGGCCTGCAGCTCTGCGTGGAGACCTTGGACGGTAGGTGTCTGGCCACCACCTCCCTGCTTCTAACGCAGCCCCCGTGCTCCTGGAATCACGCAGGAGCCCGGCAAGCTTATGCCTGCTTCCGTCAGAACAGGGCCCCCCAGACCCGACCAGCCTTTCGATCACCGTCCGGCCTTTCGATCCCAAGCAAAAGTAACACCACCCCCTTTGCAAGAGATGGTTACACGGTTGGCCACAGCTGGGTCGGGTGGGGCCCCGTGCAGAGTGAGGTCCCGCACCAGCAGGGTCAGCATCGTCTTGGAAACGCAGACTCTGGTCCCTCCCAAGCCTGCTAGAACCAGCGCTGTGCCTGGGGCCCCAGGTGCTCGCGGAACACGTTATGCATCTGAGACGTGCTGACCCGGGCACCCCACCCCCGGAGACGGAGGACATGCTGCATGCATGCCCCGTTCATGGCAGATGTCTAACAGTATCCCTGACCTCTACCCGCTAGAGGCCGGTAGCATCTCCCAAAAATGTCTCCAGGTGTTACCAAGTGTTCCCTGTTGAACAAAACTGTCCTAGTGAAGGGCCACAGCACCGGCTCCAGGAAGGCATGAAGCCTCTTCTAAGAGACCCTGAATGTGGTTCTGAGTCCCAAGTGCTTGGAGAATCCACGGTTGGTCTGTGTCACCCTGCGCCTCGCAGTCACTCTCTGCGGGAACCCACCTGCTCGGACAAGGGTGACCAGAAGGCGAGTGGGAACTCGGATGGAACTGCTCGCGCCCACGTCTTCCCCCCAAAGCGTGTTTCTTATTAAGTGTGGAATGGCTTTGGGTGGGTAGCTTCTTCCTTATACCAACTTTCAGGGGAAAAAAAAAACCCAAACTAGAAACACATTTATTTTAGAGTAGGTAATATTTGCCAGTGGCTCAAAATGCAAGTTACAGATATGCACAACGGTGCGGCTCTCCCGGGGCCACCTGAGCGGCTCACTTCCACCCCGGGGGCACCTGCTGTTTCCCTGTTCCTGGCTGTGTTTTCAGAGATGCCCTCTGGGTGTTTAAACAACTACATATAGATTCTGTTTTGCCTTTATTTTTTCCCCTCCCGCAAGCAGTGACGTGGCATATACGGTGTTCTCCGCCTTGCTTTTTATCACTAACCTTGACAGCTGGCCGTTCGCAGCCCTGGACGAGCTGCCCTGTTTGTTTAGGGGCTGTTGTGCTGTCGTGTATGTGTGTAGTTGAGTGTAGCTCTGCCATTCACTCGCCTTGTGACTTTGGACAACTTCCCTCACCTTCCAGAACCTCCTCCTCTCCAACACACAGGGCCACAGGGGGTGTTAATGCAGAAAGAGTTTTAAGATAGTGCCCCAGTGCGCATAGGAATCCCCCCGGGGCATCCTGGTAAAATGCAGTTTGGGATCGAGCCAGCCTAGAGTGGAGGAGAGGCTGCCGCAGAGGCTGCTGGTCCTGGGCCACGCGTTGAAAGGCAGAGCTGAGTCTAGACCTGATGCCTCGGACACACGCCCCACTCCAGGGCTGTTTCTATTGTTATTCATGGTGTTGGTGTCATTACACTGCTCCTACCACTGACACTGACTTATCCAGGGCCCCCTTGGGAAGAACGTATAGGCGTTTTCTGGTCCTTTGCTCTTACGAGCAGGGCTGCAGTGGAAAACCTCAGTGCACGTATCATTGTCCACTGAGTGTAGCCCTGGGATAAATTCCCAAAGGGGACGTTATCTGTGCGTAGTTTGGACAGGTGTTGTCAGTCTGCCCTCCTTGGGGCTGCGTCTATTCACACCCCCGTCAGAAGCACATGAGGGCACCTACTTCCCCTTCTTTGACAGTACACATTCCCAAACTTGTCCATCTTGGTTAATCAGGGACATGACAAATGGGCTCTTGTAGCTTTGCTTTGTTTTCCTCTCTGCTCTATGAGGCTGATCCCCTTCTCTGGTGTACTGCTTGCAGTCAACTCCCTACGTGCCATGCGTTTATCCCCTCTGCCCATTGCTCTGACAGAGCGTTGGTCTTTTTCTTCCTTATATTCTAAGGACACCTGGCTCTTTGTGATTTGAGCTGCAAATAATTTGTCAGTTTTTCATTTTTCTCTTTTACTGTGGTTAATGCCAGGTGCCGAATGGATTTGGGTGATGTAGCCAAATTGTCTCACCTTTTGTTTTATTGCTGCTGGGCTGTGCCTCTCTTCTTTTCTATCAGAGGCCACTGCTTTGGTCTGGAGCTGCCCCCTCAGTCTGAGACTGGCCTGAGGCCATGCACTCTGTGGGAGGTGCAGCAGAGTTTAGGACCTTGCTTGTCTCGCTTCTAGGCTGGTCTTTCTACTGGTGGAGCCTTCATCCTCCCTCTCCTCCTCTTTCCCCTCTCCATGACACATAAAGAGGGGAGGTCCTGGAACTGCTAGAGTTTTCCATGGCTCTATATTGGATTGGCAAACTATATGCCCGGTGGTCCAGATTCAGCCTGCACCCTGTTTTTCTGTGGCTTTTGAGCTGAAACTAGTTTTCACATTTTTAAATGGAGGAGGAATATCAAAAGAAGAAGACTATCTCATGATATGTAAAATTATATGAAATTCACATTTTGGTGTCCATAAAGTTTTATTAGTACACAGCCGCACTCACTCATTTACATATTATCTAGGCCTGCTTTTATGCTATCACTACAGTTAAGTAGTCGTGACAGAGACTGTAGTCCACAAAGTTGAAAAGAAGTATTATTTTCAGATGATTATTTATAGACAAAGAATGCAATCCCTGTTGTATGCCAGAACTTCTCAAACTGTGTCCCATGAAGTGTCAGTGGGTGTCCCAGGGTAAAGGGAAGCATTCATGATCAGTTAAGAGTGAGAAAGGCAAGGTTGGATAAACTAAGCAGATTTCTCTGCAGGACTTAACCAGAATCTTTATTTTGCAAATATCCATTGTGAATTTCCTGATGGGGCACAGAGCATAGAGGAATTCTAAACTTATTTGACAACAGAGTCATTCAACTCTTCTTTTTACTTAAACGCTCCCGAGGAACATATTGGAGATGAAGTAAAAATGGGGCTAAAGTCGATTTGACTCCTCTCTTCAGAGTGGCCATTTCCCTTGACTCGTGGATATTGTCTAGATCTTCCCTCTTGACCTTGATGGGTCCTGTGCTTCTCTGCCCTGTCTGCCCCGCCGGCTTGGGGTGGCCCAAGTTTGGTTTTCCTCTTAACTGACACCCAACCCAGTTTCCCTAGTGTCAGGCTTGCCATTATCTTTCTCTCCCAAAAATCTGGGGCTTTGTGCCCTTATTTCCTCCAGCTTCTGCTTCCCCCCAGAATGCAGGTGAAGCTTAGCACTCAGTGAGATGGCACAGCCTGATGGTTAAAGCTCGGACTCAGAAGGCCAGACTCACCAGGTTCAAACCCCACCTCCACTGTTTCTACCCACATGATCCGGGGTGAGTCACTTAATGTCCCTCATCTGGAAAGTGGGGTTAATAGTAGTTTCCACCTTCCAGGGTGGGTGGTGAAGGATCAGATGAGCTCATGCAAGTGAAGAGCTTAATTGTTCAACTTGGGACAGCGGCTGAGCCCAGAGGCAGTGCGTAGTGCCGTAGCCTCTTGTCATTCCCACCATGGGGCCACAAGGCAGGTGCTGCCAGTAAGATCCTCATGGGACACTAGGCCCCTGGCAGGTGTGCGACTCCATATTCTGGCAGATCCCTGGGGATCCCTCTTCATCTAAGGGGAGGCTAGCCTAGTGCTTGTAAGATGCTACCCAGGGTCTGAGCAAGGATCGGAAACTGTACTCATGACTCAGGGCCTGTCTCCTCCCCTCCCGCCCTCTCCTAGATGGGGCGCCCAGAGCTGGGCATGGATGCCACCACTCAGGAATTGGGCTGCTCTGTCCAGGCACTGTGCATACCGAGGAGACAGGTTTGGCCTGGTGGCCTGGGTCGGGAAAGGACCACCCAAGCAGACCATCAGAGAGGGATAGAGTGAACGATGGCTAACTGGGACTATGAATTTGGGGATCTTCGTGGGAATGAGATATAGCAGGTGAGCCCAGTGTTTCTGAAACCACGGGCTCCTGGCTACGCAGCTGCTTTCCCTCTGACCCCAGTGTCCCTCAGAATACCCTGGGGGGCACGTTGAGACTAGTGATTCTTGCCCCCACCCCAGACCCATGGATGCTGAGTCCCTGAGGGCTGGGCCAGGAAGCTGCCTTTTCTCACGAGCTCCCTGAGTCACTTGGGGCCTGGCCCAGTGCTGACCTGCTGACAAAGTCATGCCCTGTGTTTTGGGGTACCTGCTAATAAGACCATGCTCGGGCTGAGCACCCCGTCAGGTTAAATCCCTACCCCCGTGAAAGACCAGCAGAGCCGGCTGGGGAGTCCATGGATTCGGGGCTCTGTATGCCGGTGGCTGTGCCACCTGTGGGAGCCACGGGGTCCCCGCCTCGGGGGCAACTGCTGGCATTAACCTAAACTCAGTGAGCATGGCTGCCTCCTATGGTACCTGGGCAAGCCGAGTTCCAGGGCAGTGGCACCCGGGCCCAGCCCCCAGTGCCCCTTTGGGAGGAAAGGAGAAGGGGCACCGAGACAGGTACGACAGGTACAGTGTAATCCTGGTCCAGATCCTAGCAGCACCTTGTAGCCGCTAGGTGGCTGCCGGAATACGGAGCCTGTCCCATCTCAGAGGCCTCAGTTTTTTCACCCATACAATGGGCATGTTGATGATAGTTATACTGGTGAGCTTGCTTCCAACCTAGTGAGGCACAGACATCACAGATCTTCTCTGAGAGCTTTATGTTTGTTGTGATATGAGCCTCCTGCCCACCGGGTCTCCAAGTCCCTCCTGAGACCACCCAGGATGTGTACGTCTGTTCCCTCTCCCAACAGCTGTGCTTTCCTGTTAGTACCCCTGGGGAGCAGTGAAGAGCGTGCTTGTGCAGGGGAGAAGCCCATAAACGCTCCAGGCACCTGTGGCTCATTGGGAGCCAACGGGGGAGCAGTGTCTCATCCGGGGACAGGACGCTGTGGGAAGGAGGGCTG